GGCCGAGGGGGAGCGGCGTCTGGGCCCCCGCTTGTAGTAAAAGCTAAAAGCACCCGGAGTTGGCCAGGTAGAACGCGGGTTGGGCCCTGGGCGCTACTGATGGATTCAACAGCCCTACGACTTTTTAAAAAATGGTAATAAAAAAATCGTTCTCCTTACTGCAAAATACTTAGCACAGAAAGGTGCTCCGAAAAGGGGGAAGGAGAAAGGGTGAGAGAAGGAAAAAAAGAACAAAAAAGAGAGGCAACGCAAAACGAAGTGTTACTGCTGGAAACCTGGCTGCCAGGAAGCCCTCTGCCTGGCTGTGTGAACAGGGTCTGGGGGCAGGACCCCCAGGGCTGGCCTTTCTCGGCCACACCAAGTCATCTTGATTTCACCAGCCCTGACTTTTAACTTATTAAATATCGTAAGACACTGAAGTCTCCTCCTTTCAAAATGCCTTTACATTGTGAATCAACAATGCAAAAGAGAAATTTCCCTTTGTCTCTGGAAAAACTGAACATGACCCACGACAGGGATGGACAATGGGGAATTTGTTTCTGCTTTGGTTTCAAGACATTTCAAAGCCAAAGAATGTTTCCCAGTTGAAAATTACACGGTCTTTGGAGGTGGCTTCTTGTGTGCAGACACAAATATGTCTGCTGAGTTCCAGGGCCAGTGCCTGAGCAGGTAATCTGACCTTAGGATTCCTTTTTTTATCTTTAAGTTATTAGCAGACTTAAGCACAAAACCCTTAATTCCCACTAGGAGTTCACTAGTCCCACAGAATGTGTTTGTGGACAGGGGATTCCAGAGCTACCACCCAGCCCCTGAGGAGGCAGAAGGGCCAGGGAGTCACAGTGAAGGCAGAGCCAAGGACAAGAGATTTGATCCCCTCTGAGAATGGGGGGGGGGGGTCCCCAGAACCTGCCATTCATGTTTTAGAGGAATAACTTAATGTTGGTCACGCCAGCCAGGTGTCTGACATGCACTAAGTGGCAATAAATGCAGACCCACGTAATTATTTTTGTTGGTCAAACTGCCCTGTAGTAGACAGAGATCTTGGCCCACTGTGTGGATGTTTCCTGGGGGAGCACTTCCTGGAAGCAGAACCATAAGTTCTGCTTGGTGGTGCAGTGGGTTAGGGCACAGCACTGCAAGCTGGCTGCAGCCACTTCAGTGCGAGTTCGATCCCCAGGCCTGGGAACTGACCCACATGGCATGGCAGACCTCTCCTGACACACCCGCTGCTCCCTCAACAGTACTTCCTCAGTCAGCCTGTTCTGCTCCCCACTCTGACTCTGGTGAAGCCTCTCACTGCCCCCCTACCCGCCCATCTGGCCTGTACCCCACTTCTTATATGCATAAATAAACAAATCTTTAAAAAAGAGACTCTGGCCTCAGCTTGCCAGGGCTTTGAATCTTGGCCTTGCCCCTTGCTAGCAAGTCAGCTAACTTCCCTGGGCCTCAGTTTCCCCTTCCATAAAAAGGGGATCATAAGACAGAGTCTGATTGCCCTGAGGCTTACATTAGACAAACATGAGAAGCACTTAGCATGTTGCCTGGCAGAGCATCACCGCTCACCAACCCATCTATTCCTCTCCACACATATTCAGCCACTGCTGTCTGTGTCTCGATACTCTTCTGGAAATTCTATCACCTCACAGACATGTAGACTCATGTCTGAATTTTTCCTTTCACTTCAGTGCAGCATTTAACATACATGTCTTTTTTCACTTTCGGGAACAGTTTGAAAATTCTGTCATTATTGTTCTTATGATGATGAAGGTGCTCATTAGGGGACTGAGTGCTGGGTGGGGGGGGGGGAAGCCCCTGAGGACCCGGCTGCAAGTCGCAGGGGGTGGCTGTTCACTGAAACCTCCCTCTTTCTAGGACCTGGAAAGGAAATGGGTGAAAGGAGAGGTCTAAGTGTTTAAGCGCCTGGGGCACTGGACAGCTGCCAGCTCTTCTTCCGGTGTCTTTCCAAGAAAAGAGTCCTGTGCCTTTAAGGGTCCACCACACGTGCAGCACGTCCTTCCAGTCCCGGGAGTCACATCTGGGCGGCAGCCACCACTGGTTAAAGAGACAGGCCCTCCTTTTGGATACAGCCGGACCAGGTTTAAGTTCCAGCAATTTAGTAAAGGGAAGAGGATACAGATACCTGAGAAAAGGAGGGTCAGCGTCTCCAGGGGAAATCCTTTCTTTAGAAGAGGCCAGCAGCCTCTGAGATTGATTCTCCCACAAGGGGGAGACCCCCCAGTGCCCGATATTATTTTCTGTCCATAGAATCCTTGAGGTTCTCCTTGGGTAAGAGAGCAAGTGGGGCGGCCTTAGAGCCTGGTTCCAATGTCCCACCCTTACTGCCTTCCTCACAAGGGCTGTGAGTAGCCGGCAGGTTGCTTTACTTCTCTGGGTCTCATTTCCAAAATGTTGGGGTTACTTGCAGATTTGCAGGACTGTTGAGAACACAGAATGTGACTGAGCCTGCCAAAAACACTCATTCTCCTCCCCTCTGCTCCATCCCTCCATTTCTTCCTCCTAGAAGGATCTGGATTTTCAGCCAGCATCCTCCAGAATCTAAAAACATCCGGTGGATTCTGGCACCAAGTCCTGTTGTCAATGGGGAGACACAGCTGTCCCAGCTGGGAGGCCGACACCCTGAACTGTGCCTGGGCCCTGCCAGGTCACCATCTACCATCTGTACCAGCGCATCTCTGTACATTGCCCAGGTTCTCTTCTGGAAACAATGTGTTGGCTTTGGTTTGTACATAGAGGATATATTCATTGTAAAAAATAATTTTGAAACAATGAAAGAATTAAGAAGATAAAAAAGGACCTGGAAATACAAGAATATAATGTATATATAAAATATATAGTAATAATGGACACCTGGCTGTCATTCTCTCTTGACAGGGACCCTGCTCCGTATGTCTGTACCCTCCTCACTGAGGAGGGTCAGACTCTGTCCCTAGCCACATGGGTGCGCTGCTTCCCTCCCCTAAGAAGTCTTAAGTACTGTCCAGTTCTTTTCCCCACCCCCACCCCCACCTGCTATATTCCTTCACCTCCAAGCCACTTCTCCTCCCTCTGCCCTTTGACCCTTCGAGTGGGGGGCCTCT